CCTTACAAACTTCGCGGCCATTACGCTTCAAACTCATGGAAAAGTCAAGGCCGCGGAAACCGGAAGTTGCGCGCAATTTTTGCGTTTGACCGCTGTGTGCTCGTACCCAAAGTCCACGGGCTCCTCGGTCAGCGGATGAGTCGATGGCAACCATCCGCTGACCGAGGAGTCCCTGGACTCTGGGTACGAGATTGTCCTGATGATATTCCGGGTTCAAAGCTTCCAAAAAGCGTTGAAGAATGTAATTTATTGTAATGTAATCTATTTTAAGAAGTGGTTACTTTGTGGGTGCGCTAAAACGACTGGAAAACGTGCGGTCACGGTTTTAAAGGAAGGTAAGTTAACCTTCGAATAAGGTTGGTTTTCTTTTATTTATAACTTGACGAAAGTTTGTAGGGAAGTTTTGTTATTGCTGTTTATTTTATTCAGAGTTACTGAGTGACATATATAAACAGTGGACTTGATAAAAAAAAGTTTACATTACAACCTGGGACACATTAATTATGTTTTGGCATGGTAACTTGTTTCAATATGGCGGCCATCTTGACGACGCGTCCCCACTAACGGTCCCACAAGCGACTGCGAGATGCGACTCGCTCAAGATCGCTTCATGTTTCTAAAGTGGTAGCAAAAAAGCCTAATTATGATACTCACAAATGTCAAATATGAATCCAAAATGATCATTATCCTTATTAGGAAAGTTTTGAAAGACATTTGAAGATGAAAATTAACGATACAATTAATGGTAATAGTGGGACTCCGGACCGAGCAATTTTTTTTTTTACGCCCACTTCAAGATGGCGGCTATTTACAATTTGTATTTTTTTAAGCGACTAAATATTGTTTCGGATTTATCAACAGTTTAGAATTTGAATTTAGCCAACGTTTTACTGATTGGGGTTAAAAAATGGTTTAAATTTTGATGTTAAGTAGCGATTTTATGATTCGTTCGTAGTAAGCCGGTTAGCATTGGTCAATATTGACGTATGTTACGGGAGCACGTTATTGCCTTAAAAATTAGTGTTTCGGGCAGCTAGTGGCTCGATTGTGTTGTGCCCGGACCGAGCGGTCCGGGTTCGAACCCTGGCCGGGGTCATTGTGTTGTGCTCTTGGGTAAGATATTTTACTCTCACAGTGCACTGGCAGGAAGGAAAATGCCTTGTTTGCAGGAGCATTCAACTCGCCTGTCTAAAACACTAAATTTTAGCTCCTTTCTCTTGTCTACGACCATAGCACAGGGGCAACACCGGTTTCCGCTATATCAACTTCCCGCTTTTCGGTCTCGTTTTTTTTATTATTTTAACATTTGCTAGCAGCCTGACTGTCAAGAAAGAGAACTTGGAATTAATTGTTTGAAAAGGCTTAAAAATATGATTCAATTATTAGCATAGCAGTGGGATTTCAATGAGACCTACTTTTGAAACGTAGTGATAAAAAATAAAGTTTATCTCGCACATTTTGCATTTTCAATCTTCCTTCTGACGTTAACACCGTGGGTACTTTCCTATACAGTCGAACCTCCGCTAACGGACACCTCCCGTAGGCACTTCTCGTGCATGAGCGGACACTTTTTCTGGTCTCGAGGGTGTCCGCAGACGAGAGGTTCGACTGTATAAGATATATAGGTATTTATTATACGACATAGCATTTTAGGCGCGAATACGCACCAAAACGAGTGCAAATATATAGATGTTATTGAACTAGCTTGTTCGGTCCGTATTGGGAAAATATTGGTCTCGTTCTTTTTTTGCAAGTTTATGGACCTCGCCTTCGGCTCGGTCCATATACTTGCAAAAAAAGAACGAGACCAATATTTCCCAATACGGACCGAACAAGCTAGTTCAATAAAGTTTTTATTATAATGGCTTTTTAAAAAAATTGCTGAGAAATTAATGCAACCATTCTCGGCTAATGCGCGCGCGCGAAAGCTAAGTATATTCTTGCATTTTTCAGGCCATTCTGCGAAATGTTTAACCAAAATTGTCCGCCAGACATGAGGAAAAATGTTTTCTATTGAATAGAAAACAGTTTTCTTCTGTTCAATGTTTATGGAAGTTTATGGACCTCGCCTTCGGCTCGGTCCATAAACTTGCAAAAAAAGAACTCGACCAATATTTTCCCAATACGGACCTCACGCTAGTTCAATAACATCTATGTATTCAACGGGTCTTAGTCCTCCTGACCGCGCGCTACGGAAAACACTGTTGAAAGACTATATTTTAAGAAATAATTATGTCGTATAATACACAATTTATTCAGCGGAAAGTTGTGCAATACGGCTGGGCATTTTTACTCGCCAATGTTTATTTTTTATTGCCTAAAGGCTCGAAAAAATAAAAACTGACTCGTAAAAATACCCAGCCGTATTACACAACTTTCCGCTGAATAACCTCTCTGTACCGCTCCAGGGATATGGTTTTTGAGCCGTTTTGGTCTGAAAACGGGTATAGATTTTGAAAATTTTGGTCTCCAATTGGGAATGTTTTGCCTGCTTGAATTTTAAGGGTTAAGTTTGAAATTGGGAAAGGGTTTAAAAGAAGCGGGTAGTACACCTTCAACACAAAATTCCATCGTTCAAATTTTCACCCAACTAGTGGTGGTTATGAGGTCACTGATACCAAATGACACCATTTAGACTCCGCCATTTTGGATTGGATTTTGGATCCGCCATCTTGGATCCGCCATCTTGGATCCGCCATCTTGGATCCGCCATCTTGGATCCGCCATCTTGGATCCGCCATCTTGGATTTCACTATTCCCAAAATCGATACAAAATTATTCCAAAAAACAATAATTCGATGTTAAAATGTACTATTACTGAAACGTTGCTTAAGGACTTAAAGGGGCAGTGTCACGGGGATTTTGACCTTTTTTGGTCAAAACTGTGCTTCGGTACCTTTTTTATTTACAAAATAATTCTAGAACAACAAGAAAAAGAAATCAACCAAATTCTTAAAAGAGGAACAAATTATGGTCTGTTCTAATGCATTTTGGAAATGAAAATGCGAGAAATTGAAAAACTGTTAGCCTGACATGTTTTCAAATTACGATCCATTCCGACCCAGTTTCTATGGCCAGAGACACTTATTGGCAGTTTTAGTACACTAGGATGGTAATTTATAACAAAATTTGACCATTAGTTTTTAGTTTTCTGTAAATACAAAAACGTTTTTTGGTTTTTGAAATGACATCAAATCCCCGTGACACTGCCCCTTTAAGAGAAACTAGAACGAAGAATTATATCTTAAAATTCGAAGTTTGGGTAAACCTGCATGTCATTTAAGCGGTTGCCATGAAAACATAAAAACTGGAGACAAGCAGTTATTACATCAAAATGTCCAGGAGCGATGAATGAACAGCTTGGGAAAGTTTTATCATTCCAGAGTAAATCGTATTTCAAAATTGAGAAAAAACCTTACGGGGGTGGCATCTACATGTACCTCAACCCCCCCACCCCCCCGACTTCATCCCTTTTACATCCGAGGGTTAAAATACTTCGTCCCTTCGAGGGTCGTGTCTTCATCCCATCCGAGGGTTAAAACACTTCGTCCCTAAACTTCGGTTTATGGTATTCCAATTTTTATTCAGTATATGAAGAACATATTTTATATGAAGAATATTTTCCTGGCTTCGAAATTATATTCTTCATATGTTTCCTCATCCTGTTTAGGGTCTTAGAAGTCATACACATATAATCTCGAATAAAAAACTTTCTGGGGAGTGACCTGCGTATGATACTACTCACTACGTTAAGTGGGCATGTTCATAGCGTGGTTGCCTCGATACTGTAGTGGTCATCACGCCTGACATGTAACCAGGGAGACGTGGGTTCGATTCCTGCTCGGGACACCATGTTTTTTTTGTCTTTCTTATGGACGTGTGTCGAAAGTGATGTGGACACAGTTAAATATGTGAGTTTATTTCCCTTTTATGCAACAAGGAACAAAATAAAACTGTTTTCTATTATGTCTCGCGGACAAGTTTAGTTAATTTTTTACGAAAGAGCCCTGAAAAATACAATTATGTATATGCTTCACTTTGGCGCGCGCGTTTGTCGAGAGCATGGATATATTAATTTATCAGCAACTTGTCAAAATCTACTCTATCACCCTTTCACCATCGTTACGATCACCACCGAAAAGTGTCCCCCTTTCACCATCGTTAAGATCACCACCGAAAACTGTCCCCCTTTCACCATCGTTAAGATCACCACCGAAAAGTGTCCCCCTTTCACCATCGTTAAGATCACCACCGAAAAGTGTCCCCCTTTCAACATCGTTAAAATCACCACCGAAAACTGTCCCCTTTCAACATCGTTAAAATCACCACCGAAAACTGTCCCCCTTTCAACATCGTTAAAATCACCACCGAAAACTGTCCCCCTTTCAACATCGTTAAAATCACCACCGAAAACTGTCCCCCTTTCAACATCGTTAAAATCACCACCGAAAACTGTCCCCCTTTCAACATCGTTAAAATCACCACCGAAAACTGTCCCCCTTTCAACATCGTTAAAATCACCACCGAAAACTGTACCCCTTTCAACATCGTTAAAATCACCACCGAAAACTGTCCCCCTTTCACCATCGTTAAAATCACCACCAAAAACTGTCCCCCTTTCAACATCGTTAAAATCACCACCGAAAACTGTCCCCCTTTCAACATCGTTAAAATCACCACCGAAAACTGTCCCCCTTTCAACATCGTTAAAATCACCACCAAAAACTGTCCCCCTTTCACCATCGTTAAAATCACCACCAAAAACTGTCTCCCTGGCTTTCACCATATTAAAATTACTACACTAAATCACTGCACTGCACTGCACTGCACTGCACTGCACTGCACTGCACTGCACTGCACTGCACTGCACTGCAGTTACACTGTTAAATATGTGGGTTTATTTTTATTTGTGGTGAGACTTTCCTGGCTTCGCAATAATCAGGGAAGACCTACTAATGGTACTACTCACTACGTTAAATGACCACTCTGCTAGCGTGGTTGTCTCGATGGTGTAGTGGTCATTACACCCGTCCAGTAACCGCGGAGACGTGGGTACGATTCCCGCCCGCGACAATATCCCTTTTTTTTGTCTTTCTTATGGGACGTGTATCGAAAGTCATGTTTACACAGTTAAATATGTGAGTTTATTTTAATTTTCTGTTCTGTTATTATATTTCATTTCTTTAATTATTTATAGTTATTTTTTTTATGTTATACAGGGCCTCCATTGATAACAGTCCTGTGACTGAAGGAATTAAATAAGATTTATCCTAACGGCAGAGAAAATACCGAGGCAAGATGAACAAAAATAAAATATATTATATATTGTGCCCAATATTTCGGTTTGAACCTAAATCTTCTTCTTATTATTATCAATTGCTCCGAAATTGATAGCTTTTTATAGTTATTTTCCAAATTTATTTTTTGCGTTGAACTCCACGTCTTTGTTATATTTTCCATAACAATAATATTTTCACCGACATGTGACAAATTAAAGCTGAAAGCCGATTGGCTCCAGTTCTTAATCAATATTCATGAAACTTGCGAACATTGCTCAAACCGAAGGACGAAGGACGACGCGAAGAACGTGAAGACGCTTCTTATTCTAAAATGCAATTTATATCTTCGAAGGACGTGGAGTTTTGAAGGTTTTAGAGAAACAACTTCGTTCAAGTAAAACAGTGGTGAGTTTAACTAAACATATTTATCATTTAGTTCAAGTGTTCGTCGACAATGAAAATGTTATCGTTGAATGTTACTGAAAGTTTGAGCACGTGCGCGGGTTTCCGTCGTTTTCCTATCGCTGAGCAAATTTACTTTTCAAATTTCTAGTTAAACACTTCAAACATTAATACAAGCATGCAACTGTTAGTGTGCAAGCTAAACAATTTTGTGTGTTTTTCGTTGGAATTACGATATAGTCGTCTTGAATTCTTGGAAGAGACCGCGCTTACATTTTACAAATATCGCTTGCAATGCACTGTACGCTTTGTGGTTTCAGTAAGCTTCTAAGTACTAAAAACGTTTTCTTATTCATTTCTGCAGGGCGAAATATCAGGAACATGAAAAACCTTGGGGAGAAATAGCCAGAAATCTGTTCAGATTACACAACAAAGGTGAGTCAATTTTTGAACTACTGTTAGTAAAGCAATATCACCCGAGTTACTGTAGTTCACTATTTTTAGGCCCAATTATGTAATTCAAGTCGCAAAAATCTCGCTGCTATTCGTCGATACTACTACGTTGTAATACACCATGGCATTGCTATTTCTTTGTGAATTTCGCAGCGATTTTAGAAGAGTTTTCTAGGACTTGAATTACATTCGACGCGACTGAAATGCGTCTGAAATGCGATGTATAAATTAGGCGTTAGCTAGAAATCATGTACATCAATAGTTTGCGTATTTTTCCGTTGCATCATGAACTAATCTATTTGTTTGTTCAATCTTTTGTAGAGAGAAGAACTGAGTAGCCAATGGAAAGGAAATGGAGTCAAGGGATGAAGAAAGAGGATGGCACGAAGTTAAGAATTTAATTTATAAATATTAAAGGAGCTATGTCACGATATTTTACGTCATTTTTTCGAAGGTCAAAATCACCTTCAAATTGAAGATGACCCAAACTGGAACAAGGATGGTTGAGGATGGAGAAGATTAAAACGGATTGCGAACGGAGAACTTGAAAAAATTGGCCATTTTTTTCACGATGCACCATCGGTGAAGTAGCTCCTTTAAGACAAAACCTAGGAACAGCAATAAGTGGTGGCTATAAGTTAGAAAAATATATCCAAAGAGTTGAACTCGCACATAATTTTTAAGAAATATCAACAAGTGGAAGCCAATAATTGTCTACTTTTATCCAAAAAAGAAACACAATTGAGATAAATGAAACAACAACTATTGAGAGAAGTGAAACACAAACAATTGAGATAAATGAAACAAAAACACTTGAGAGAATGATATGTTTTTCGTTAGAGAATCTGAATTGATTAAGACTAATTTATGCCTGGAGTGCCACCTTAACAGATTTCGCGTAGCCAACGTACTTTAGTGATGGTTGCTAAGAGAACACGAGACTTTGAAGGGGTTTTCATTGAAACGGGAGTCTTCGCATTCGGGGGTCGGGAACAAGTGTCGTCTTCGGGAAATCTTCGTGAGGGTAGCCGAGCAAAAGCCGATTGTTATTATCCAATACAAACATTGGGCGAACACTACATAAACACGACACTTGACAAACCTTTACGACATGTACTGACTGACTTAATTAACAGACAGACAACGAGAAATATTGCAGTATATAGCTGCAAGTTGTGTTGGAGACTGGCAGGACTGATTTAGACATACCTCTTACCGAACAAAAACGAGCTACTTGGAAGAGCAACGCAACAATCACATTACTTAACACCGTCGACAAAGTGGACACGAAATTGACTGGGACTGTACATTCTGAATGCATTGACAATATTACTAAGTACTGACAACGACTTGCATTGAAAACTGCTACACCAACTTGGATCAAGCGATTGTAAACCAATGTCGCAACTACTACTGGTATCTAACAAACGACTCGTGACTAGCTATTGAACTGATCGAGCAAAATAGACGAACAATGGACTAAAGTAACTTTGATCTCGATCAGAAACCAACAAAATGACTAACAATTGAACATTAATAGACTGAACAAACTTGACAACTACTAACAATTGTATTTTGACAAAACTGACCAATCAGATCAATAACCAGAGACTAAACAATATCATGACAAATAGCATTTCACATTAGTCACCAACAACAATGTTTTACAAGACTACTCCTACTCAGACGATGACACTTGACGAACTACTGATACAGCTGGATTCAAACCAGTTACTGAGGATTCGTCATGTTGCCTAGCAACATGAAATACGATGGCTTTCAAACTTGACAAAGTACTGATACTCCTGGATTCAAACCAGTTATACGATTCCTCATGTTGCTTAGCAACATGAAATACGACAGCTTTCAAACTTGACAAACTACTGATACTCTTGGGCTCAATCCAGTTACTGGGATTCGTCATGTTGCTTAGCAACTTGAAATAAGACGGCTTTGGACTCTCGTGTTCTCTTAACATTGTTTGTTAACGTAAATGTCAATGCCTGGTTCCAGGGGTGATACGCTGTTTAGCACATCGATATTGCGGTAGATAAGCGCTGAAGGCAATGGACCACAATGAACACTTTTATTTTAACAAAATAATATTTTTTTAATGGATTTGACATATAAGAACTGATCAGGTCGAAATTCTCATCAATACTAAAATTTTCGCTCGTAAAAATTTATTCAGTTGATACATTTTGGTTTCTAACAATGTTTTCAAAATAAGTTTTCTTTTTCACTGAACTACAATGGTGGATCAAACTTTAACTTGTTTGTTCACATTCGCAACAAGTTCTCGAGCAAAGTTCTTTGATTAGGATTTCAATTTTCCTTCTTTGTAAATACCAAGAAAATCGTAACAATTTATGATGGAAAATATATTCTGCTGATTAAGAGAATGAATTGTCTAGTTTATTGACTGAAATCAACATAATTATCTTTGGCAACCTTTGGCATTTTTGCCGGATCGATTTGAAAACTTTCATTTCATATAAAATATTCTCGATTATTACCTGGATGAATGTTACCAAAATAATCTTTCGTTTCACTTTTGCAACTAGTTCTCGAGCAAAGTTCTTTGATTTCTTTATAAATACAAAATATATTTAGCTGATTAAGAGATCATTTGTCTGGTTTATTGGCTGAAATCAAGATATCTTTGGCATTTTTGCAATTGATTTTAAAACTTTGAATGTTGATTTGATTTTGTTTAAACATGTTTCCGGCTCTTACGAGATTCTTTATTATCTGGGTAAAATGTTACCAAAATAACTATTTCTTTTTCACTGAACTTCAATGGTGGATCTTCACATTTGCAACTTGTATTTACAAACTCAAACATTTAGACTGATTTTAAAAGAGGAAAAATTGTGTGGTTTCTTGGCTGTAATCAATTTTAAAACTGACACTGTTCTTGATACACTTTTTTGTGTTTAAAAATGTTTCAGCTTTTACTACTATTATCTGGACAAAATGTTACCAAATTATTTTTTCTTTTTCACTGAACTTCAATGGTGGATCAAACTTTGATTTCAATTATTTTTTACTGATTAAGAGCCTGAATTGTCTAATTTATTGGCTGAAATCAACATAATTATCTTCTGAAAATCTTTGGCATTTTTGCAATAGATTTGAAAACTTTGCACTTTCATTTCACAAAAAACGGTTTTTGATTTCCAACTTTTATGAGATTCTTTGTTATTATGAGATTGTATTTTATTATCTGGATCAAAATGTTACCAAAATATTTTTTTCTTTTACACTTTGGCAAGAGAGAACATTAATTAATTTCGATTTTTTATAAAAAAGAAAAGAAATACAAAGCCGTAGGAATTTGTGAATGAAAACATTTTAGTGATTTTAAAAGATAACAAATTGTCTGGTTCTTAAATTGATTCAACATACTTTGGTGTTTTTGTACTTGACTGTTGATTTCATATCAACGGTTCTAGATATATTTTTGTCAAACTAATTTCTCTTTTATTACCTTCGCAAGGGAAAACAGCTTCGATTTCGATTTTCTTTCTTTATAAATGTACAAAGAAAATAAAAAAGAGAAATTGTAGAAATTAATTATGATGGAACTGGAAGAAAGTTTAGCTGATTGCAATCGATTGACTCGTAGCACTTTGATTTCACACAAACGTTTCTTTATTCGGCTGATGAGAAATCTTTATAGGAATTTATAATGAAAACAATTGTCTGGAATCAAAATATATTTTACAATTTTCGGAATGTTTTGCAATCGATTTTCAAAATACTTGGTTCTGTATTATCAATAGTGGACAACAGTTTCGCAACGATAAATTATCTTGTTCACTGGGAAAAATAAAAGCAAATTGTCCACGTACACTTTACAACAAGGACAAATATTTAAAAGCTACGGTTTTGTTCGCATTAGTTTAAAATAACGAAGCAAAGCTGTGTTCATTGTGG